TTTTCTCTTTCGGTGTGTCCTGTTAAGAGTCAAATTCTCATATAACACTTTTATTGCTAAGTCCCGAAGCTTAGATGAGAAAAGTGGAGAATTACGTTAGGTAGTTGATAGCCAAGAAAAACGTGTCAAATAATTATGACATGAATCATTTAATACACTGTGTTCATAGACAGTTAATAAGTACTATAAATTAATAGATAGTTTAAGAGTCTGGGATGTCTTTGTATTCTTATAAATACACCATATCGAGAGTGATAGGGCATGATAAACTGAAGAAAGGATGTAAGCTTCTCCAACCCTGTGTTTTGATCACTTTTTCTCTCTCACCCAATTCCTGGGGTTGACGGCAAAGTCAAATATGTTGTTCATCCATTGCCCAACAATAGGTTTGTATCATAATGTGGTTAATATTACTGCTTGCACTTGAAATTTGAGAAGAAAATGAACTGTGAAGTGAAATAATTTCACCAAGCTTCCAATAACCAAATATTAAAAAAAAAATAAAAACTTTGCATCCAAATGTTTAGCATTAACATTTTACTAAACCAAGCAGCCTCGAAATTAAGTCTTTGTTTGGGACAGCTTTTTTTTCTGCTTTTTAAAATACCTTTATAGCACAAAAAATTTTTGAATTAGAAAATTTTGTACTAGAAAACCGTTTTAGAAAGCAGTAAAAAAGCTATCCCAATTCCCAAACGAAGCCTAAAATACATGTGAGCTATATAGCTACAAGTAATATATTCATGAAGTGTTGTATCACATAACATTTTACTAAACCAAGCAGCTCCGAATTTAAAATACTTAAGTGAGCTATATTGCTACAAAGTAATATCTTCAAGAAATGTCTTATCGCAGGCAGCATACATTCAAGTGAAATAAAATTAAATAAAATAAATTATTGAAATTCACAAAAGCATTATGGAAAACTGTAGCTGAATGAGAGAACGAAAGGCTTACAGCAGCTGCATTCTTCCACCTTGAACTATTTTGGTGCCGCACTAATTCTTTTAAATTTTAACTTCTAGATGCAAGAACTATTTTGGTTTGCCTTAATATATAATTTATGTTTATAAATACTCTGCCTGTTAGCAGAGAAAATTAGAATTTGCTTGTTCATAGTAAATGAAAACCAAGGTGTGGCCTAATGGTTTGAAGTGACAACAGAGGTTATAACCGAAGACCAGCAGCCATGTAAGCAGAATAAAGGAAAATTAAAGAAACAAAATGAAGTAAAATGCAACTTTGTTTTACTTTTTTAGATTAGTAAAGACGAAAATCTCCCTTTGCAGTTGCAGTGAAGCAAAATTACAAGCCTAAGAGCAACTGACTGAGCAAACAAATAAGGTGCATATTCACGCACTTACTGACGGCCATTTTTACTCTCGGCCTCTTCAAATTTTGTCGGACTAAATTTAAAAAGCACATAAATTTAAAAATCACCCAATCTTCGAGCAGAAAAGCTTAACTTTTCTCAGACCTTTCCCTTTGAAGTGCCAAGTGTGGACAAGAAGAAAATAACCCGATAAACAAAAGAATCAAAAAGAAATTATGGAAAGTGTGTGCCTTCCCAAGAAAAAAAGTAATCTCAACGCTTCGTTGTTCAGTGTTTTTTCAATCAGCTCATCATTCCCTGCTGCATAGCTTCAGAAATATTTTTTTTTCATAGCTATAAAAGCAGCAATAGTAATGATATCTTGGCTTAATGGGTGGATTCTCAAATCGAGAGGGAAATGATATGGATGCCATCATTAATGGCGGAGATGAGGCCAGCCAAAATGGCATCTACGGCCAGAACATCTCATTTTCGCAAACTCCGAATGTAGTGAGATGGTGAGTGGAGCACGACCAATGACAGTGCTGTTAACACTACCACGAACACTTGTGCTCAGAACAAATGAGCCTGCAACTGTGGGTATCGTGGCTAAAAAGGTCATCGAGCAAATCGATGCCTTTGTTGAGGGTGGGGGATCAGGCACCAAGTAGCTTTATGAAATAATTGTTGAATTCCACAAAGGCTCACCAACCTTGAACCTTGACAGATGAAGTCAAGTTGATTAACAGTATAGTGGAGCCATCCGCAGGGCCATTGGGCAGCTAAAGAGATCAATGTCATAGAAAAGCTATTAAACTAAGAGTGTGACTCAAAGCAAGCCATGTTAGAGACACATTCTCGCAATCAAAGTCACAAAATTCAAGTAGCTGATGAAAATGTTGAAGCATCCATCACATTATGCTCATTAGCTTTGTCTTAGTCAATAGCAGATGAAACAAGAGAGGGTTTCCACAGGAGCAAGGGGTCGGTGTTTGGATGGGAATGAGGCAAGGCAACTTTCACGAAGTTGTGGACTTCCGAGGTTCACAAACTTGCTAAGGGCACTAGGTTGAACACTGATGGCTGACTTTATGGTGGATATTGGGTACAAAGTCAAACAAGTTGCAGGTGATTCCTTTATCACCATCTCAAGTACGCACAAATAAAACGGATACTTATTTTTATTTTGCTATTTTAGTTTTATTGGAATTTTAAATAATTAAATGCATAAGACACCAACCATACTTTTACTTCTCATCAAAATATAAACAAATTAAAATAAATAAATATACAATAAAAAAAAACAATAAAAGTTATACTAAACCGTCCCTAAAATTATAGAATGTGAGAAAATAAATAAGCAATATCAAAGTAGCAATTCAAACTTTACATCTATAGAAGGAAATAGTTTTCCCCACAAGTTTATAGTTACCAGGCGAGAAGAATTACATCTAACCAACACTTGAGCACAAATAGGAAACAAAATAGCTCAAAGAAAATATTATTAGATATGGATTTCTGTAAGGCCTAGTTATGCTTCTTTGTACTCTAAAGATTTTCTCTCAATTTTCAATTAGATAGAGTCAATCTCCTCATGAAATGATGAGAACTGCAACCTTTCTATAATAGATGCAATTTGTAAGTCACAAATCATTTAGAAGAATCGCATCCCGCACTCACAGAAGGCCCACAAATGTGTATGTTAAATAAAATGATAGTGCGAAGATATGGTGAAAAATAAGGCATGAAGGAAGCAACAACATAAAAGCAAAGGATCATATATAGAAAGTGCAAAAGGCTCAACCAATTGAGCCAATGAAACAACTAAACTAGGGAAATCCAAAGAGAGTGCTATAGAATAAAATCACAACCGATGCAGCAAATGACACCGAACAGGGGAACATTATATAACACAATTAGTTCTTATAGGCATCATTTCAGGCAGGATTAAAACCATTAAAACAAAAACTAAAACTCATAGTTTAGTTGGTTCAAACTAAAAGTCAAAGTTTTGATTTTACTTTAGTTTATGTTATTTAAGTAGTTTCATATTTATAGTTGTTGAAAATGTAAGATGGTATGTTGGGGCATGCAAATTGAAATTCAAAATTTGGACTTTAATTTATGAACATTATTTAACACAACTTGTTCTCATATGTATCATTATAGGCATGATTCAAATTATTTAAACAAAAACTAAACTCATAAAAATCAAAGAAACTACTTAAATAACATAAACTAAAGTAAAACAACAAAAATTTGAAATTCAATTTGCATGTCACACCATCTTGCATTTTCAACAAGTATAAACATGAATATTTGTATCAAACCAGTTAGTTTCTTGCTTCCTGCCAATTCAATGAATTCCCATATATATTTTATTATTAAAAATTTCATTTCATCTAGCACTATAGTTATCTATTAAGGGTTTTTTTTTAAAGCTCTTAAGTAAACATTGGGACTGCTACTTTATTGATGTTTATAACCAAGGCTTGCAACGCAAAAGACATCCTATGATAAATTGACACGAGGTGAAATGTACATGCTCTAATACATTTTTTAAAGCAATATCAATATGCCAAAATCAGATTCACCATATTCAGCTTGACAGCTTCTCATGTTGAATTTACCCCAATACTCAACTCTTGGTTGTGTTCGTGATGTGAAAAAGTTTGAACCTTTGGAGGTTTTTTATTTCTTCCTGTGTATGCTTACACTTTGCTTTTTTGAACTTGAACTTCTCTCAACATTTCAAAAATTTCTTCAATTGATGGCATTTCTGACAAGTCAATGCTAGGCGTATCTAGAGAAAGGTCGAGTATGGATGAACCAAGTAGAAATGAGTCAAGGATGGGCTTGTAACGAGTGATAAGAAGGGAAAATGAATGATCTCAGTGTCTCCCTTCACATACTATCTTCCCCTGAAGAGAGATGCGGCTGAAGAATGACAGAAATAAAAATGTATGTAGTGACAGAACAATAACACTCATAGCCCTTCTTAATTGAGGACCAGTCAAGGAATATGAATGTGATTGCTCCAGGATTCAGCTTCCCCTTTTCTATATCAGTCTTACATGTAAAAAAGGAAGAAAAACCAAAAACCCAAGGTGGAACAGACGCGAGCAAACATCCCCCTTATTACAAATTTCTTTTCTAACTCTCGCAAGCATATGTAATCAAAAGATGACTTGACGCGCATGTTCAGATCATGCTAAAAACAATACTTTGAAGTGCGATTAATCTACGGCTTGAATGCGTCGACACCGTCGATAAGGTGTTAACATTAGTTGACGATGACAGCAAGGCTAAGAATATGAAATATTCAAGATGTGGCAACAAGGCTGAGCAGATGAAATAAAGGTACTTCATTCAGCGATTACGAATGCATGACAGATCAAAGAACTTACATATGGACATTGAAGATTCATTTGGAGGTAGAAGTTTTGGGGGGCTGGCTTTGGATAAGGAGGTCGTCGTAAGGGTCGCGGCGACCCGGTGCCTGGCTGATCTGGGCGTCATAATGGATCTGAGCGTTAAAGCGATCGAAGGTCCAGAAGCCATACGGGCGGAGAGGGTAACTCCACATCTCCTTGGTCTTCTTGCACCGCTCCTTCCTTTTGTAAATGTGCTCCCTCGCCTTCCGATCCCTCTCATGTGGATCCTCCATCATCTTCAGTATCAGATTCTCCGCAAACTCCATCACGAACTTCATAGCTGCTGCTCGATTGAAGAATCCCCACTATCGTATCGATCTCTGGTCGCTTGATCGCTGCCTCCCTCCGTATCGTTTTATTAGGGCTAGAGAATCGTAGGATTTGCATGGCCCGCCCGCTGGGGTTGGCCCAATTAGAAAGAAATTTTTTTTTTCTATTATTAATTTTAAAATAAATTTAATAATTTTAAGTCTGTTCTGAGATAAAGTATAATAAAAATATAGCACAAATATCAAAACAAATCCAACGATAAAAAAAGTCTAATTTTATTATTGTTGCGTACTAGAATATACACGACGATAGAGTTAGAAGATTTCCGTCTCAGCGTCTAACACCCAAACATAGGAGAAAAAATAACACCATAATTTTTACGTGGAAAATCCTGGAAAGTGAAAAAACCACGGGGTCACGCCCAGTTGAAATAATTCCGCTAATGTTTGTTTGAGGTATAAGAGGCTGATTCGTCATTAAAATTTATGATTATCATATTACAATGCTTCACTTTCGAATTGAAATCCAATTACAAACAAGTTGTATATTCAAGCTGAATTCAGAGTCACTTGAAAATCGGGCAGAGTTTTGGCGTCACTTGGGCGTCGGGAAGAATTCTGGTGTCACTTGGGCGTCGGCCAGAATTCTTGTGTCACTTGGGCAAAAATTCGGGCGTCACTTGGGCGTCAGGCAGAATTCCAGCATCACTCGGGCGTCGGGCAGAATTCGGCATCACTCGGGCGTCGGGGAGAATTCCGATGTCACTCGGGCATTGGGTAAAATTCCGGCGATAGTTCAGGAGGAGTTTCTTCCCTCATATCCTTCTCTTCTTCTTGCTTGGGTCCACACTCAAGAGAAATGATGAGTCTATTTATAGATATTCTGGAGTGGCATGACCTGTAAATAGGTAAGAGATCAGGGGTAAATGGGGAGTAGTTGGATGGACGGTCGATATTGAATCCCTTGATCGTGTACCGTTCGTCATACATTTGAAGGTCTTAATGATGTCAGAATTTAACGATCTTGGGCTTGTTGGATTCGACTCGTCGAGCCGCTCAATTTGACTATAAGAACTTTATGTTTGGAAACAGTTTGGTAACTCAAATTATGGTTTGAACTTTCCAACAAAGTCTTGGTTCCTTGATTTGGACTCATTTGGGCTCGGATTGAGTCGAATTTGGTTCATATTTTTGAGACGCTCAGTTTGACTATAAGTTTGCTTAAATTGGAGTTCAGGTGATCCCGGATTTAATTTTTGAACTTTTCAGGTTGATTTTGCCTCGAGATTCGTGCCTGATCAAGATAATTTTTTGATGATATATCGATTATGATACCTTGAAGTAATTTTTTTTCTTAATCAAATGTTATAATGATCAGTGGCGGAGCCAAAAAATTTATTGAGGGGGGGGCCTAAATTAAAATAGTTATGATTGCCATGTCATGAGGAATGTTAGAATACATTAAAATAATTCCGTTTGTCGTCTCATTACCGGAGCCTAGAGGATTTGTAAGATCAAAATTAAGAATGCAAATAATATGACCCTTAGAGCTTAGAAGACATAAATATTTGTCACAGGCGATCTCCGTTTGAGGGCGAGAGAGGAGCGAAAAGGAAAACGAAAGATGTGCTTGAGGTCGTGAGTCTCGAGTTGCGAGAGAGGACCAAAGGGGAAAACGAAGCAGACTGTTTGGGTCTAGAGAAAGCAAGCCGCTCGAGGTCGCGACCTTGAATTTCAGTTACGCTGGAGGTTTTCCATATGGTATTCTTTGTAATGACCTTGAATTTCAAAATTAAAATCATGGCTCAATAGATGCTAAAATAACATTGTGGTAAACAAACACTTCAATAAATATCAATTAATACAACAAACAACATTAAGATAGTGAAAAAAAATGAATGCCATATTCAAAAATCATAACAGTATCTTGAAGAATATGTTAATCATGAAAACAAACCTGCTTAGCATATGAATTTGACAAGGGCGACATATGTGAGGTCACAGAGATTAAGGCTAAGTGAAGCATGGGAGAACATTTTATTAGATATTTACGACCAATTGCAAATGTTGTGATATGTAAATAAAATCTCAATTGGAAGACTGAGACAAATCTAACATTGGTCATTGTATAGCTCATTAAGCCATAGTCTGATCTCAATTGTCTATTAACATGAGACTCTAAGCATATTGATAACTTGTTATTCCCTGGGGATGTCAAAATGGGTTAAATCTTACACTTCCTTCCATTCTCCCCTACTATCTTTTTGCTTCTTTCATCTCAACAAACTCGAGCTTCAAGCTCGCTCTTCCATAAAAAGTTAAATTGATGAGCCCAAACTCAACCCGCTAGCAACCCAAATGACCCAACTCGACTTCATAACCTGTTTTGATTATTTTTTTAATATAGTTTGTCAACTATATATTTTAGATAATTTGATAAACAAAATAAGTATATTATACCAACAAACAAACAAATTTTGAGAAAAATATTAAAAGAGATTCTTTCTAGTCAAAACTGGATTTGCGGGCTAACCTAAACCTAACTCATTTAATAAATGGGTTAGAATTCTGGATGCGAACATGACCTGTTATTAAACGGGTGAATCCAAATTCAAATTTTTTTATTCTGGTTGGCGGGTCGAGTCATTTTTTGACACCCCTGCTTTTCCATTTGATAAAGAGAATGACTAAACTGACCATTCACCATTCCTTTTCATTCAAGGCTCCCCATCATACAACATTTGATGTATGTTAAAAGCGAATGCATGACGCCCATTTGATGATAATCTTCATATATCATAGTGTCTCCTCCTATAATGAGAATGGCCAACCAACCATGATTGCATGATGTTTGATGTTTCCTATTATTTGTTGCCTAAAAGCTACAAATGATTGATCTTCTATGAGTGGGGGATGCCAATGTAAACTTTCAAACTCTTTCTAGGCACTTGTGACCAAATACAAAAGATCAGTAGAGTCTTGTTGTATAAAATGTAAATAATCCTATCAATTTTATGCTTGTTGAATTCTCATGTTATATTTAAATAAAATTAATATTTATTATATCATTCGGTTCAAGCTGAGGTCATCCCGGACCTCTAATTGAAACTTGGTTCGACCTTTAGTTGAACCCCGGTGGAACCATCAAATTTGAAGCTCTCATTCTTCTAGTTCGTTATCGGTCTTATTTTCACAATTTTGAAAAATATATTAATTAATTGAAAAATAAACAATAAATATATTAAAAAAATCAATTTGTTTTCATATTATTATTTTAGACACAGAGAACAGCAATAGCCTATGGCGGGTAATAAAATACGATTGATCCAGCAATAGATTGCCTTTTCAACGACTGGAAGGACGCTCTGTATCATCTCAACTGCACCACTGCTTCTCTGATATACTGAGCGAGCGAGCGAGGAGGACAGAGAGAGAGAGCGACAGAGGGCGAGGGAGGGAGGGAGGGAGGAGAGAGAGCGAGGGAGCGGGAGGCATGGCTATACAAGTCCGGGCCATGTCTTTCCACTGCTTATCTTTCCTCCCAAGAATCAAGAAAAATTCGAAAGAAAACGCCGCAGCTCTTCCTACTCTGCTTTACATCAGCAGCCGACGAACTATCCGGTCGCTGGTCCGATCAAGCACCGATTCATCGAGTAGCAGCGGCCGATGGGAGGAGTTCTTGAAGCAGCTGCCGACTCCAATCCCTTGTCTCAGCGACGTCATCTGGCCCTCGGCAGGTTCCGTCCTGTCCACCCTAAATTTCCTGAATCAGATGCCATATAAGGATAGGTTTAATTAGGTTTGGTTTTGGTCTGACCAGGAGCGTTTGCGGCCATGGCAATACTTGGGAGGCTCGATCAATTGTGGGCTCACAAGGGGCTTTCATTCACAATAGCTCCCGTTGGCGCGGTATGCGCCGTCCTCTTCGCGGCTCCGAAATCCCCCGCCGCTCAGGTTTGAATGGTCCATAATGCCATATCTTTTGTTTTATCTGATTTATTGAAGCTATTTATGTCTATGACATAATTTTGATGTAGGACAAAAGTACTTTTATTTCTCGAAATTGCAGTACTTCATAGAAAAAGATAAGTATAGAACATAGTGTCTGTGCAACTCATCTTAATTTAGTAATTTAGTGATTGAGTGCATTGGCTCCAACCATAAAAACTTGGCCAAATTATTGAATGCTTTGGCTGGAACCACAAAATCTTTTGTTCAAGATCTCATATACACAGAATTTGAGCTTAAATATGCTTAAAAGAAGCCTGTAAAAGAGATGAAGCTTTTTGAGACCACTTACTATATTCCCAAAGCTCTGTTTTTCCATCAGAAATTGCACTAACTTAGCAGATGAATTTAGGCTTAAGTTAAACCACTACGCCAGTCCTTGTACATGATGGTGCGGGCTTATATCAACTAGATGACCATTTCATTTTCATAGCGACACATCATATGCAAATATTATTATGTATGAAATGCTTTAAAGGATTTGGAATATAAATTGAGTTGGAACACATAAAGGAGGAAAACGTGTACAACAGGTCATCAAATTCCGAATTAAGGAATAGCGACAACATGTTTTATTAATAAATATGATCCTTAAATATGACAACATTACCAGCGTACTATCCAGGATCCTTAGTTCATCTCTGCCATGAAATCACCATATCCAGGATCCTTAGTTCATCTCTGCCATGAAATCACCATCCATAAGTTCTTATCCATCACTGCTTACTGTCATGCAGATTTAAACATGGATTGTTCTATGAATGTCAGTTTACTTTCCAGAATGTATATATATTTTAAGTTAGAGCTATTAGAATTATTACATTGGCATATTAATATTGTCACATGTGTCCAATATTAAAGCAGAATTGTATATTATTTATTATTATAATATGATATTTTCATTCATTATATATAATACGTCCCCAAAAACCACTTTAATCAAGCACGAATCTTGAGGTTTATTTTGAATGAGAAACTTTCAATATTAAATTTGAGACCAGCTGAACTCCAATTTCAACAAACTTACAGTCAAACTGAGCATCTTGGCAACATGAACCTAATGATATATATCAAAATTGGTCTAATCCAAGCCAAAATGGGCTCAAATCAAGAGCTTAAAATATATTTGGAAGCTTCAGAGCATTAATTAGATGACCAAATGATCTCCGAGTATGACATGTTTATGGTCAAATTGAGTGGCTCGACAAGATGAATCCAACGAATGTTTCGGCACGCAACCATTTTTTTTTAATATTCTTATTGCAGGCTAAAATATACGTGGCGATAGAGTTAGAAATTTTCGTCTTGACGTTGTATGTATATCCAACACACAAACAGAAGATGAAAGAATACTAGGATTTTTATATGGAAAACCCTGAAATGGGAAAAATCATGAGGCCATGCCCAGCTGAAAAAGATTCCACTAGTGTTTGAATTGATTACAAGTGACTGATTCTTCCTTGAATTAAGGATAACTAGATTACAATAGTCAATCATCTATTTATGAACGGAAGTCCAGCGTCGGTTGTTAAACGGGCATAAATACAGTGTCAGTCAGTAGCAGGGTGAAAAATCCAACGATAGTTGGAGGCTGGGCAGAAATCCGGCATCATTTGGAGGTCGGGCTAAAGTCTGGAGTTCGTCGGTGGCCGATAGAAGTTCGGTGTTAGTCAGTGGCAGGGTGAAAAATCCGGTGATAGTTGGAGGCCGGGAAGAAATCCGTCGTCACTTGGAGGCCGGGCGAAAGTCTGGAGTTTCTCGGTGGCAGGGCAGAAGTCCGACATCACTTGGCAGCCAAGTGGAAGTCCTGCATCGGTCAGCGTCCGGGTGGCGGTGGTCGAGGAGGAGTCTGGTGGCAAGAGAGCTCTCTTCCTTCTCTTTCTTCTCTCCTTCTCTTCTTGCTTGGGTCACTCATGAGAAATGAGGGGTCTATTTATTATTTTTTTGAGAGGGACATAACTAGTAAATAGGAGGAAGATCAATGATAAATTGGGAGTGGCTTTAATGGATGGCCGATGTTGAATCCCTTGATCGTGGACCATTTATTGTGCCTTTGAATGTCCTAATGATATCATAATTCGACGATCTTGGGCTCGTTGGATTCGTTTTGTCAAACCGCTCGATTCGACTACAAGCATGTTACGTTTGAAAACCGTGTTAATCCAAATTATAGTTTGAACATTCTAAATGCACTTCAGGTCTTTGATTTGGTCTCATTTGGGCTCGGATTGAGTCAAATTTGGTGTCGTTGTGTTCATATTTTTGAGACGTTCAATTCAACTATATGTTTGATGAAATCAGAGTTTATATGATCTCCGATTTAATTTTTAAAGTTCTCAACTTGATTTTGCGTTGAGATTCGTGCCTGATCAAGATAATTTTTTAATGATATATCAATTCTCATCTTTTGTATATATATATATATATATATATATATATATATATGTTCACTTTTGTATCAACATATTGCAAAATTCAATGATATTCATTGCAATTATATCTCTCTAACCGTTTCTTCCATTAATGTTGTATTTTCTGCTTTTTTCCGAACCCAGTGTGTTTATTCAAGTTCATCACACAAGGATATAATCCCCTACATGTATTGATGAAGCAGAGCCATAAAAATAGAGTACCCCCATCATTAGATAAGCCATAAACCTTTATCGAAATATTCAGGAGGTAAAGAGTTATCTTTTTCCACCAGAAATTGCAAAACGATGCAGCTGACATTTGGATCAGCCAAACAACTATTCCAAGTCATTGCAGGATGAGTTGTGTTGTCAACAGTAAACTGTATTCCAAATTAACTTAGTTGATTTAACCAGTTTATAGTCATCGAGCATGATGAACTTAATCCTTAATTTTATGCAGAAATACAACATGTTTGTGGCTCAGATAGGCTGTGCAGCAATTGGAGTATTGGCGTTGTCCATATTTGGTCCAGGCTGGTTAGCAAGGGCTACTGCCCTTGCGGCATCTATAGCTTTCATGACTGTTACAGGCTCCATTCATCCTCCTGGTACGCCTCTCATAGCTTGAAGAAACACTTGAAAATGTTTAACTCTTACAAGCACGCTTGCTTATGTGGGTATTTAAATTTCAGGTTTATATTCTAGTAAAAGTGGCCAGAAGTATATGTCATGGATTCTCAGTCATATATATTTATAGAAGAAATGCTAAAAAATTTTCAATATAGGTAGAAAGACTGCCGAAAGCCATCTAGATCCTTTAGATTCCGCATATGACAAATATCAAACATTAATGGGTCATACCTGTTTCATTGCAAACTTCAACTAATCTGATGGGAATCCCAAAGGCCAGAGTTGGACTATACTACTCTGCAGCTCTTTTAATTCTTAGGAATAATAAAATAGGGCTTTCAGAGTAGTAGTGAGCAGATTTTTCTTTCCATATAACGCTGGAGCTTTCATCTAATATTTTGTTGGTGGTTGTGCTTTTATATGAAAGGGAGATTCAGGGTGTCTCGAGCCGAACTCCAAACGACTGTAAGATTAGTTGGTTTGCTCCATTCGAACGGCAAAAAAATCCGTTATCGGTGGAGGGTGAACAATGCGACACCAATATTGGCGTTGCATTGTTCACCTACGCGATTTTTCTGTATGAATCGGATTTGTCGAAAAAACACTCAAAAGAGGAGAAAGACGGTTACCGTGTAAAATAGAGTTCGATTGGAGATGAATCACAGCATTTTGGAGTGAAAATGAGATTTTCGGCTGGAGATGCCATAAGTATTGTGAAGTAGGGAATCAGCATTTTATATGTAGTGTGCTGAACTTAAAAAATAACTTGACCCTTGGACTCCTTTTGGTGAGCAATAGCTAGACCAATAATGTTCGTCTTTCCCAGAGGTTCTTGCAAATTGCAATAATATATAATGAAAGGGAGATTCGTCAATAATTTTCCTCTCAGTTTTCAGTTTTTTTTTTTTTTTGTATCAGCACATTAATGAATTATCAAAATGGGATAGTCTGCTTTAACGCTTTCATAAACTCTGTGAGAGCTGCAGCTGCTAGCTTGCCAATCTTGTTCATTGACGGTGCAAAGTTCCATCATTTGAATCTCTGGTATGCATTGTTTCCTGGAGCGACTGGTTGTCTGCTAATTTGCTTAATTGTAAGTTCTTCTTTCCAATTGCTTATTTAAACATAAAATGTTTTCAACTAGTGCAATAATTCCTGCCTTCCTCAATTATTGCAGCAAGAGGTGGTGACTTTCTTGAAGAGCAACTACAGGTTTTGAACACGAAACATGATTTGTCCTCTTAATCCTTGGGAAGGCCTGTTTCAACCCCAATTATGCTGGAGCTGGCCTGAACTACCTTGTAAATTTCACTGGTAACAACCAAATGACAAATATTTAGTTAATATTCGCCAGGGCCTCTATGTTCAGTTCTCCTTATCTAACTGTCAAAATTGAAGTATTTGTACTGATAAAACCGATTTTCCCTATGAACAATAAAGGGAGGAAAGTGAAATATGTATATCTCATTTTTTTTAGAGTTCATCTGTATTTGTTTGAACTTTGAAGGCGTAGAGGAGAAGAAGAAGACATCGTAGAATGGTTATATTATCGCAATGTATTAGAAGACCCATAGAAGCTTATCTACTAGAGCATATGCCAGAGCTGCCACATTTGTATTAATAGTGGGGGTTTTAACTAACGAGAAGCCGATGTGAATCAAAACTAAGATTTTGTTTGGGACAGTTTTTTTATTGCTTCTTAAAACTGCTTTCTAGTTAAAAAATAAAAAAAAATTTGTACTAAAAAACTGCTACTCTTCAAGTAGTAGTAAGAAGGCCATCCCAAACTAAGCCTAAAGGAAAACTGCTTCCCTACCACCACTAGTCACTGTTGTCTTGGAATTATTATTGCGTCCTCCCACCTGATGTAGAGATGCGTCCTCCCAAAGCTAAAATCGCGCTAAAAAATGAGAAATGCCAAGCAAATACCGAGCAATACCAAACAATAACGAGGAATATCATCATGTGAAGATCAATACCGAGCTATACCGAGCAATACCGAGCAATACAAAAAAATACATAGTTTTTCCTAAAGAAAACTCGGTATGTGCTCGGTATTGTTCGATATAGCTCGGTATAACTCCGTATTGATCTTCACATGATGATATTCCTCGTTATTACCAAATAATATATGGCAATACCGAGCAAAAATCGAGTTTTTTGGCGTTGGGAGGACGCATCTCTACGTCAGGTGGGAGGACAATAAAAATTCGTTGCCTTGCCACCAACCATCATTATCAAACTTTACATTGAATTCATTTGAAACCAAAGAAAAAATGATTTATTGCATTTGTTTTACATTTAATCAAATAATTTTAAAATATTTTAAAAATATTATATTTATTTTTTATTTTACTTTGCATTCTTATTTCAACAAATCAAATAACTCCTAACTAGATTATTAATTAAAGATGATCAATTCATCATATAAAAATAGTGATAACTAGTGATTGAAATTTTAGTTTAAATGTATGAGCATCAACAAATTACTGGTTCAAATGCACGCCTACAAATTTATGACATTGAATCAGCAGTTTAATCAACTCATTTATCAAATATATTTTGGATTTATATTATAAGTATTATTCTTATACACTAAAAAGCGCTATAGTAACCTAAATTTGATAACTAGAACAAAATTAAAATAGCTAATTGTAAATAAATTTATTAATTTACTCTCCTGAAAGAATTACGGACACCGTCCTTATATTGTCAAAGAGAAATTATTATGTGTCGAGATTGGATATAGAGATTATTCGATTTTATTTCTCTGAACAGCAAAAGCGCAATAAAAATACAGTGTTGAACAGTAAAAGCGTAGTGATGAATAGTAACTGTGCTTTTACTGTTCACAGAGACAAAATCGAACGATTCTTTGTATCCTGTCTCCGCACGTAATAATCTATCATTGTCGAGGTAGGGAAAATTATTCTGTGCGTAATCTAGATGGGAAGAATAGTTCAAATTGCTATGTATTTATTAAACATTTGCTGAGTATTAATAAATACTCAATAAATATATAAAAAAATTAACAAATATTTAATAAATACTCTCAATTAAATATTTATAAATAACAGCAAATATCGGACGACTCCGCATAGAATAATTTCTCGTCGAGGCAGTGCCTTACTCGTTTAAGAAGTACTAAACCATTAAAAAAGCCGGCTGGACTTCTTGCGGAGGCGGGTTACTGTTCACAGAGACAAAATCGAACGATTCTTTGTATCCTGTCTCCGCACGTAATAATCTATCATTGTCGAGGTAGGGAAAATTATTCTGTGCGTAATCTAGATGGGAAGAATAGTTCAAATTGCTATGTATTTATTAAACATTTGCTGAGTATTAATAAATACTCAATAAATATATAAAAAAATTAACAAATATTTAATAAATACTCTCAATTAAATATTTATAAATAACAGCAAATATCGGACGACTCCGCATAGAATAATTTCTCGTCGAGGCAGTGCCTTACTCGTTTAAGAAGTATTAATAAACCATTAAAAGCCGGCTGGACATCTTGCGGAGGCGGGTAAGTAAGCCGCGCGAGATGGAAGACAGGTACTCGAAGAGGAAGGGGAAGAACCCTAGATCAGTGCTACGGCTTGCGCTCATTCTTGCAAACCTCTCCTTGGGTTTTACCTTTACCATGGAGAACAAATGCTCCGTTTGTAATACCATCGCGGTATATCTCTTCTCGCTTGTTCTCCCCATACCAAGCTTAGGCAAATTTTGTTTTTTGATCTGGACTTGGAGAGGCAGGGCCTTAATATCCTTGTTCGTTAAAAATTATCAACTTTGTAAGAACGGAGTGCATATATATCTTTTTCTGTAACACTTTGAAATTTATCTTGAGGAGTTGTTAGTGGATTATTTAAATGATCTTGTGATTCTTGTGGTCAGATGTGGAATTATTTTCGTTTAGGAGATTCTATAGTTTTGACTGGATGAAGGGGAGTTGGACTTGGGTCTGTATGTGTAATATCAATATAGGAGCGGAATGTTGGTTTGTTAACTGAGTCAGAATAAATTTACTTCCTTATTACTTTGTAAATTATGTTAAAACTACTGTTGTGTAGTTACCTTTCTCCTGTCCCAAAGCCACGGCTTTCTCATGAGTTTTAAAAGAAGTACCTCGATATACATTCTTCTTGCACTTTGTAGCGGCTAGGTTGCCCTCTTGTATGCAAAATGACAATATGACTAATATTTCGCTGCATGAATTCACTCCAGTATATATATATATATTGAACATTTTTAGTGGTTGAGCTGATGCTAATGGTCATGATACACTTAATTTACGCATTTCTATCTTATCATCCGTATCATACAAGCAATTTTTTCCTTAGATCATTCCTAATATATGTTGATCTGTTAATGTCCTGTTAATTTATTATTATTTCAAGTGTATGTATCCTGGAATGAAACTCTTTCAACTTTTTTTGTTCTTATTTCCTTTGCATCGAGTACACCTTTGTAATCTCTAATGTTGTTAAATGAATTACTTCGAGTACACCTTTGTAATATCTAATGTTGTTAAATGAATTACTTTGAGCTTAATATGGTTTTTGGTGTATTTTCGTTATTTTATACCCTTTTAAGCTCACTTTGTTTTGTGAAGTAGTTGTATTTGGTAATTACTAGAAGTGTATTACTTCTTCCGCTTAAACAAGCAAAAATTCAAACACGTATCTTGCTATGGTGTCATGAAATTTCTTATAAATCCATGCCTTACTCGGGATGAAACTTTGCATCTAATCTTAAGCTAGAAATTTTATTCAGGGTGAAACTAAATTAATTTTTTTAAAATTTTCCTTAACTTTTTATATCCGGGCTTGGGACCAGCATCGACAGTTTTTTTTTATTGAAAAAAATTATAAATCAATATAATCTAAATTTTCTTTCTCAATATAAGCGCTTAACATATCATTCATCGATTGATCTCCAATTCTATTTCACAGCCAATTTTTTATAATATGTGTGCCAGAAAATGCTCTTACAACGCTAGTTGTTGCAACGGGTAATACCAATGCCAATTTCAATAGTTTAAAAATAAGTGGATATATAATATCCTTTTTACTTTGGTTCATTTTCTCAGCATGACTTTATCTTTTAATGAAAAAAACTGATCATCAGATCGCATATCTATAATATAAGTATCAAACTGATTTTCAAAAATCGCTTAATCAAAAAGAGTAAAATTAGTTGGATAAAATTGTGTCATTTTAATCAACTTGTCTTTGTTGAATGCATAAAATCTATTATTAGGATTCAAATAGGTAATAGACAAAAGTAGCTAAGTATTTATTTATATAGAATGATTGTTCAACTCTTGAAGTTGCATATCAATAACTGTATAGAAGATTTCAACCCGAAAATGATATAAATTGTTATATCCTGAGCTCTACAACGAAGTTGGCCACGAGCAATCCATTTATCATCCATATGTGGAACAATTATTTTTTTGCTGCTCACAAAATGATTAATTCATAATGCGAACTCCATCAGGTGTCGCTTGCACGCCTAAGAGTTATTTCTAATTTAAGTCTTACCAAGTTGTTAGTTCTCCACTTTGTAATTAATTTAATGCATTCTCTCATTGTATCTCTTGAAAATGATCACGACGATTACACGAAATACAAACAATATTCATCACATTCAAAATTATAGTAAATAACAAAGCAATCTAAATAAGATTTTTTGCAACTGATACCAATGCTAACTGAAGCTGATATGAGAAGCTATGAATGTAATGCACTGATTTATTTCATTTAGAAATAGAGCCTTCAGACTATTAAATTCTCCTATCTTTGCTAGCATCATCATAATCTTGACTCCGTATTTTATAAATGCTCAATCCATAAGTTGAAAGAGTTGTTCAATTACTATTTTGAGACTACTTGCAAATGTTTCATGCACATGAGCAATCCCTAACAAACGTTCAATTATCTGACATTTCTTGTTAACAAAATATACTACAGTTGCAATTTGCTTTTTTGCAGATGGGTCACGTGATTTATCAACTAAAATTGAGAAAAACTTATCACCAATCTCCTTAGATATAAACTTAGTAATTGCCATTGTGAAAGCTCTTGTGATATCTTTCTGAATATCAGACACAATTAATTTTAAACTTTAATGTGCTTTCTTCAGTACCACATATTGTATGTCTTTGTTATGTTTAACTATAAACTATACCAGTTCAAGAAAATTATCCTAATTTTTTTATTTAGAAGATACATCATGTTCTCGAAAAGCTAATCTTTATCTCAAAAGACATCTTATGCAATTAATGGAAGTATTCAGGCGGCTTCGATATGCAATCGTAGTTTGATCTGAATGCTTCTGCAACACAAAATCAATTTGTTGATTCTGTTTCATTAGGTCTTCACAGCTTCGTCTAGCATTATTATGCACACTATTATGACTTCCTACAGGATGCTCAAATTTGTTTGTTTTTTTTTTCAATTTGAAAATTCATTTTTATTAAATGCATCCTCTTCTTCATTGCCTCTACCGCATGCTCTAAAAAGATAACAATATAGGCAGCATGCTTTATCTTTACATATGCTATACTCTAACTAATTAGAGTACTTGTCAAACTAACTAATATTAAAGTTTATGTCTTTCATCCCAAATTTACTTTTCGGAAAATCATGACTGCGAGGTTGAAATGACCCCTCTTTGTAAATACGTTATACGAACTTCATCTCGACTTTTAGGATTAACTCACTTATATGAATCGTTAATCTTGAATCCGTTGGAATATTTTCTACATTTAATTCTATATTTTTTTTGGTTAATCTACCTCCACTCGAATGCTCTTTTCATTTTGCTTTTCAACTTTATTGTTGTTCTAATCCATAGTATTTGATGCATTTGAATTTGATGATTGCTTGAAATGTCTTCCCATGGATGTTCAAACTCGTATTCAAAGATGTTCTAAAAGTATATCTAATGTTAAGATATAAAATTGCGGAATTCAAACAAATGTGTGCATTTACAATAGTTTGATATACCTTCAATCATATACTTAAATTAGATATCAAAAAACTTAAATCAAATCCTACAAAATAAATTATTGGCCCTTAGAACTTACAAGACATAAAAATAACTTCGCTGGAAGATCAAAGGTTCAAAATTAAGAGTTCAAATAACTTGGCCCTTAGAACTTACAAGGCTTCCTTCTACCTTGTAGGTTGAGGGAATCGGAAAGCAAGCCGAGTTGCCGAGAGCTGTCTCGGTGTTTTTTTTTTGGGGGGGGGATTAAATTTTTTTAAGTTTTTATCATATCAGGGAGGGAGGGAGGAAGAAACTGTTTGTTTTAGTTGTATTTTCAGAAAAAAAGGAAATTGTAGCTGATGCCCTTTTACAGAAAGAATGACTGCAGCAATATATGTATCTCTTAAGTTGCCAATGCTTATTTAGTTTTAAATATGATTCTGTTTCTGAAATTTATTTTGAATTGGATTGAAATGCTTTATTCATTATAGTTGTTTGAGTAATTCAGGCGTAGATTGATTAATCTATGAATTTTTTGGTTGGAATCATTGATATATTTTTGAAACTTTTAATTAGACTTTCATGTACAAAATTTTTAATCTGAAATGGTTTACAATAGGCTGGTTTCTGGTAAAAGTTTATCACTTATGTGTAATATTAGTGGTAGCCTAAGCGACAAGTCTTAATTTCTTCAATGATGTTCTTGCATAGTTATCTGATCTACTTGAATCGCTAATGTTTATCTACGAAACTATGTACGGGAAAGGGATTGATTGCTGCATAGCAAAGTCCCCTCTTTTGCTAAGATTATGTGAATATAAAACTGCTTATTTAATTCAACCTGTCCTTTGAATCTGAAATTAATTTGTTAATCCAAGTTATATTTACATATGATTATATTTATTTATGCATGTATCCGCGTCCAACAGATTGGAAAAAGCCTACACTTTGATATAATTTCTTTTCAACTTTCTTAATATTTTTTTACAGACGAATAGCTAGTTTTATTTCAATCAATCTGAAGTTGCTGTAAATTTTGGTATATGCATTTTATTCTTTGGTTATTGCTTATCTTCATTATTGATTAACATTTCATTTGAAGGGATTTGAACCTTGACCTTTTCAGTAGAGGGCAATGACAAGTAACACTTGGTCCTTTGGCTAGTGGCAACAATTTTTTGCTACTTAAAATACTCTTCTGGTCATTTTTGTTTGAGTTGGTCGGGGTTTTAGTGATTCTATTTTTATTCACCAAATTTTGCTTAACACTGAATATTGATATTAGCTTTTGGAAGGAATCTCATAGTTGCTCATCAAGCTCGCATTTATTCTTTTTCAAGTTAAGTTCAGCCCTTTTGCTTTGGTTTCTTTGATTAATTTTGTGGTCCATGACATGCAGGGAGAGATTCAGACCGGGCTTTCTAACGTAAGTTTACATTGCACTTCAACTAGTTTTCACTCTTTATGCATTTTTAAACGTATATCTTGAAATTAACCGCAGCATAATATTGCTTCTTTTGTTGAGCGATTACCGTACTCTAGAACTTAGTGTGTATAACTTTTTTGCTGTTCACCAAGCCTGTTGTTCTCATTATTTTCATTTTCGGTCATTATGATTCCAAAGTAAGGCACGTGTACAATGGTAGTTATCATTGCATATATTTCTCATACATGATGTTTCCCCAGTGATTTCAAACCACAATGTATTATAGACCAAAATTGAAACCCTTTTAGCTGTGTTTTCCATTTTCCAAGATCTTTGATTACAAGAACATGAAAACAGATGAAATGCAAGAAATCAAGCATTAATTATAGCCAAATAATGAAGCTTTTTTAGAGTTTCTCTAAAAATGAAAAAATAGTTACTGAAGGATATTTAAACAATAGCATCCTAAAAAATGCTCTTCTAAAAGTTATTTAGTTTCTTTCTGAAACCAACCATTTTTTTCCTCTTACCTTACCAATACATGTAGTATGTTATCCATTGTAGACTATGTTAAAAAAAAGCTGTTACCCTATTTACCATTTTATATGATGCAGAACAGACTACAATATATTTAGATTATGTATAGTGATGATGCAGAAGTTTCTTTATGTATGTATGGTCAGGAAAAGATGATAATATACCAAAGAAAATGATCAGGATGTATTATCTACTCTTCAAAAAAAATTCCATTTTCTATGAGTTTATTGGTCTTTACTTGCCTTGTACCTAATATTATTTCTAAAATTTTATCACTTGTGTAATATTAGTGGTAGCCTAAGCGACAAGTCTTAACTTCTTCAATGATGTTCTTGCATAGTTATCTGATCTCCATGGGGTACTTCGGAACATATTTTTAATACGTTATATGTATGATGGATGCCTCAGCTTGAGAGTTGAGTGACACATCATTGCACCTTGGTATTGCATCGGCTCATTCAGCTGCACATACAACAACAACAACAACATCAAGCCTTTATCCCACCAGCTGCACATATTCAATCTTTTTTTATCTTAATTGTTAGTCTATAATGTTCTTCACCTACAATGACCAACTTGAAAATCAACTAGACTTGTGAAGATTTTTGCCTTTGAAGTGCCTTGTTGTCATGATGTCACCAATATCACTCAAATACCCCCATACAATTTGCAAGTGATCTTCTGATGTTGTTTTTATGGAAGCCCAACTCTAAGCACCTCTGGTACTATACCGCTTTAGTGAGGACCGAGCCTCATTTTTAGGTACCCTATTTCTAGAGATTGAAATGAAGAAACTGAAGGAAACAAAAATTAGGCAACGAGGTATGTGATTTTCCCTGATTCTGCATCCAGTACCTATATTGATCAGATGTGCACAAGAACTCTTTGTATGAAAGAGGTACGTCAGATAATACAACATGATATATTCATACCCTAACCCATTTTCAACTACTCCCAGTACGTTAGACTGCAAGCGGCCTTCTCCCCTCGTGTAGGCTACGTTGCTACTTCTGCCTTCAAAAACATGCCCTTCCAACCACTTTGTTATTCTAGTGACCATGTGATGGGGACATCAGATTTCGACATGTGTACCATCGCCGGAGGCGCCGATCGACGGCCATGATTCAAAGTCTTTATTTTTGATGTTTTATTTTATTCATGTCATTTATATTTTTTGTCTTTTTCCTTTTGTACCCCTATGAGGGAATTAGTGTTTGTTGTTGCCCAAGGGCATTGTAGTCTTTTACTTTCTGTATGCTTGTTGAGCCTATATAAAGGCTTGGTCTTTGTATTTTGGATTATTACTTAATGAATGAAAATTTGCTCTCTTTTTTTTTATTTTTTTTATTTTTTTTATTTTTTATTTTTTTTTTGAAAATTTGCTCTCTTTGTTCTCTTTGTG